AGGAATCAAATGAGGACATCTTTAATTGTCCACTGAAGCCTTATTAATGGGGAATTCATAGGGGAAATTGCTACATTAGATCAGTATTTTTTAACCTTTTTTATTTGCGGACCCATAAAAATTTCAAATGGAGGTGCAGACCCCTTTGGAAACTTCAGATGGAGGTGTGATCCCCTTTGAATTGTAAGTGTGGTTATTCACAAACTTTTGATCATAGTAATCTTTCCTCTAGATGACTGGGGGAAAGATTCCCCATCTTCCCCCTAGTTATATTTCCCTAGGGGTCTGCAGACCACAGGTTGAAAACCACTGCGTTAGATGATTTCCTAGGTGCCTTAGCCACAAGCCTTTTTCTGACAGCACTTTTTAAGAGTATGGAGAATCCATGAAGCCTCTTTCTGTATTGGAGAGCAGTTGTCTTGAATTATAGGCCCCTGACAGACATTAAAAAGAGGGTGCAGTGGGATTTAATGTGCAATCCCAACAATTATGCCTCCAAGCTGAGAGCTCCCCCTGCACTGGCAATCTTTGCTTCTGTGGCTGAGAGCCCAAGATCCAAACACTGCCAGGGCTCCCAGCTGCAGGGGTGCAGCATGTGTCCCCCATGACAGAGCTCTGATCAGCTGACCGGGCTCCCAGCTAATGGGGCAAATGGTATTATGCTTACGTTTTTCATGACCTGATTTTTTTTTCATTTTTTGTTGTAACAGATCACAATTGTCAGTGAACCTTTTGCACTTTCAGTTGCACATTCTAGTCTAATGGACACAAGAAGTTCATAATGAATAACTTGCTCTCCTTTTTATTTATGACAGTCACATCCTGATCTGTTAGCATATGCTCCATCACCAGTAACAACTGAAAAATCCCATCATATTTTTATATGCATTCTCTATACTTTTGTTTGGTTTGTAATGTCACTGCTTTTCTTGTATTTGTACTTCACACTTCTTGCAAGGAGCCAAGTGTGCAATACTACTACAGTTGTTATGCCATACTTTACTTTTTCTGCCCAACTTGGTACATGCATTTATAGGCTAAGTGCGGACAGTCAAACAGTCTGAGGCTGAATCAATTCAATCTTTGCCGGTTTCTCTAAACTGTGTAGATTGAACTAATAAGCAAGTGAACTGACGTTCACTTTTCAAACAAGAAAGGCAGCCAGACCCCTGCAGTGGCCCATACCAGTAGCTGGGGGGCAATAGAGCACACCTCCCAACCTGCTGTGCACTGCAGTCACTGGGGGATTCTCCCAGCCTTGTCCCTTCCTCAGCCTCCAGGCCAGCTGAGAGGGGGTTGGAAGTCTACACAGACTTGGTTCTGCCCTGCGAAACCAGAAGCCCCCCAGAGCCAGGAGCAGGGTTGGAGTCCCCCAGCCATGCCTCCTCCTCAGCCTCTGGGCTGGTTGGGGGGAGGGAAGCCTGAGCAGAGTCTTGGCTCCACCTCCGAGCTGGGAGCCAGGACTGGGGCTAGAGTCCCCCAGCCATGCCTGCCCCCCCACCCCCACAGCTGGCCCACATGGCTAGGAGGACTCCAGCCTGGCTCCCTGCCTCTAGCCCCCACTGTGGGCTTTCCCCCGCAGCCAGCCTGGAGCCTGAGGAAGGGACATAGCTGGGGAACTCCAGCTTGGCTCCTGGCTCCCTAGGGTTGAGTCAAACCCCCTTCCCCCCTCCCTGCCACACTCGGCTGCACTTGGCTGGGGGTCAATTGCTGGGCCAGAAGGGTGGGTTTATACCCAGCCAGCCAGAAGAGTGATAGTGCTCTGGCTAGGGAGCAGAGGGATGGGTCAGACCCTGCTGTGCTGCAGGCAGACAGAACAGTCCAGGGCTGCAAAGCATCCTGGGATGCTGGGGGACTGTGAATTAATTGAACCAGGAGGGGATCTGGGACAGAAATTCCATAGATTGGTTTGATCTTTATCAGTTAAGTCTGATAAACCAGCCAGGCTTATCTTAAACCAGTTTCAGCCATTTGGAAAGCGGTTAAGGTACACTGAACTTCCCTAGCCATAATGTCTAGATATATCTGTTCTCTGATCCATCATTGTTTTAACATAGCTTGTGCTTAAAGACTTGTCCTTCTGTGGCCCAAATTAGAGGAATAGTTTCCATTTTCAGTCCTTCTTTTGAAGGAGCCAAAGGAAGATTGAATTTTCCATATTCTTTTAATGAGTATTTCTTTAAACAAACAAACAAAACTTCTTGCAGTTCTTTTTTTCTCTACTTCTGTTTATATAGCTCTCGTTTTCTGCCCAGTGACTTATAAGAAACTTATTCTTCATGCACATTTAAAATGTTGTTTTCGGTCTCTCTTTTGCTACCTTACATGCTCATGTTCCATGTATCCTTCAAGGCCCTCTGCCCTTTTCTTCCATTCTTTTTGTCAATATATAACCTTTCTATATACGAATTCTTTTCATTACACTACGCAATGGTTATTTCCTCCAAGTTTTCCTAGCCAACTTGCTTAGATCAGTCATTGTCCAATTTACTACTGCAGCTGACTACTGTACTGATAAGTTGAATAACTCACTCTTTTCTTTTATATTCCTTCCTTTTTCCATCAGAAACATTTTCCTTTTAAAGAACTCCAACATACTTATTACATTCAACACTGTTGATATTTTTTAATCTCATAATGAGTTTTTATTCCCTGTAACAATAGGACAGTTCCTTCTTAAGATACTCCCTCATGTTTATCCTGAATGATCTTCATATTTTTTCTTGGGCTTACCATGCCTGAATGCTCTTAGGTGCATGCATCATTCACTTTCTTCTTGCCAGCTGTGCAACTCAAGCTTTAACCCTGTCATAGCTGCTACTGAATTGGCTATTCAACCGAAAGCTGTTTCCAGTTCAGCATTGCTGTGAGAGGATTAAAACTTGAGCTGTGGAGTTTGCAAGGAGACAGTGAGTGACCCGACTCGAGTGAATGACTGCCCCTCTTCCATGTGGCAGGGAAGGGAAGGCAGCACAGTGTCCACATGCCTCCATTCCAGTGCAGAAATCAGCTTCCTGGTTTAAAACATGCATCTCTATTTTGGATTGCTGCTTTTGGGGAAAATGTGCATGTAGTCTGCAAGTAAATATGGTAGTGATCTCTGTAATCATTACATAGACTTTTGTTTTATGCCTCAGCATTGTTAACAGGGATATAATAAAGAAATTAGGTGACCTTGGAAAATCTCACACTGTATTCTTACTGTGTCTTATATTTTTTACCATTGTATTCCCAGTAGAATGCATATGTAAAGTATCCATTCTACCCACAGTGGATTTACTGCAGTTGTTTCAAGCACTCTGATAATTTAGTCAAGTGACACTGTATCAGATGGCTTTACATAGTATAATTCAACATATGTGCAGGTTTCTCAGATGCATTGGTGGTGATGATGATAAATTTGAAAGAGTCTTTCAAATTAAATTAATATAACAATGCTACTAAAAATACTAATTTAAAGTATCTCAGAATTTAATAAATTTATATGGCAGGTTGAAATTACAAATTGGATGAGGATAGTTTTCCAATGTAATAGATATGTCTGGCTTTTTTCCTTTTTAAAATTTTATTTATTTATTTATTTATTTATTTGCAGCAATTGGAAAAGGAAGACCAGGAAGAATCTTTTGATTTACATCATTGTTTCTCTTTAGAACTAATCAAAGACAAAACAGCAACCTCAAGAATAGTCAACTATGAAAAGTCAAATTTACTAGAAAGAGCATTATTACAGGTTAGTAAAAAAATGTGTATAATTGGATCTTTATCTGAGGAAAAGTTGAAGGAAAAGGACTGGATCATTGGTTTACACTAAGAAATAGACCCTCTGCTCAGTTATCCATAAGGGATCCTCTTAGGGAAAAAAGTGATCTTTGTCCCTCATTTTACAAGTTCTAATCTGTCCCTGCTGTATACAATCCAAAAACATAAGTGGGTAGGAGCTTTTCCTTTACCCATTTTTGAAGGGAAAGTGACATTGCTGTACAAAGCTAAATTCTGTTCAGTTCTCTGAGCACTCCTACAGGATTGGGCTCTCTTGAGAGCAGTCTAGCTGCTCAGATTAGGCATTGTCACAGTCTAAAATGTAGATATTGAATGAAGTTAGGGGTTGTGTGTGCTGGAATGGGTATATTCTGGGCACTTTTTGTGACTTGGTACTTAAATTTCAATCCTATTTTAGTACCTAGTTTACTGATCTGGATCGAGCCTTGTGTGGCTTTATTTGCACCTGGGAATAGTCTCACTGTAGTCAATGTGACTTCTTACCATTTTAAGCCTTTTCTCAATCCCAATTTCTGTCTTACCAGAGAAAGGGCAGCAAAATAAAACTTTCAAAGTGTCCACTTTCTTTGTACACTGTATTTGTTTAGTTGGTAGCTTTACTACTTTAGTTAGGTGGTTAAGTCTTGTAGGTTAAAGATTAAAATTAGAATTTCTTTTTAGATTATTTTCAGTTTAGGCTACACACTTACTCTTACACAGGGGTTCCAACAATAGGTCAGAAGTTAAGTTACCAGGATTCAAGGGCATTTTTACATGTGCTCCAACATGTTCTGATTAGAGTGCTTTGGTGTAGACTACCGTTCTAATCAGAATGCTCCAGAGTGCTGCAGTGTCTCATGTATTTAGTGTCTCCGTGTTTCAAAATGGCAGTGGGGGCACTTTAACTAAAGCTTGCCAAACACTAAATACATGAGATTCTGTAGCTGTTTTAATTAGAGTGGCACCTAAGAGCTGCTCTAATTAAAATGCCCCTCTCCCCACCCTGGAGCATGTGTATAGGCACCCCAAGATTTGTTCCTTGTGTGAAGCTTCAGTGCCAGTTGGGGACATTTTTGGTGCTGAATCTGGCTAGGAAAGGAATGTATTTCTGGGCCATGCCCCATACATCACACTTTTTCTAAGCAAACTTAAAACACTAGACAAGACTGCTTGTAGTTTTTTCTTCCTGAGAACTCCATGCAAGCCTCCTTAGAGACCAAGTGGGAAGGTCAAATTTAGGCTTCTGTCACTAGGTCTTCATTACTGCCCTGGTAAGTCAAGAACTCCGATTTGATCATTTGGAAGAATCTGTAAATATCCACCATTATTTCAATATCAATAGCTGACTGGGGCAGAAGAGCACCACAGCAGGAATAAATGAAGGTCTAAGTTACTTTCTCTGGTGCCTGATTAGTCAGGACACAAGAAATATCAGACTTCTGGCTTGTCTTGGGCTCAGACTCCTAAAGGCCAAAAGCCTGGTCCCATGATACCAATTGGTGTAAATATTAATAGTATCCTTCAAATTTATGGATCAAATCTTCCTTGGCATGTACTCTTTGATGCCAGTCTTGGCACTGGGTATAGCTTCATTAGTAAGTCACCTGGTCCCAGGCCCCTAGGTATTATGAGTCATTTTGGAATCGCATTCCTTGGTACATAATAACTCTGTAATGGTTATTTTGGTACTCAAAACATTTATATCAATTGATTTCACTCTGGACCTGGAATTGAAGTTACCTGTCCTAGTGAGGCTGAGTGGTAATATCTAAGCCACTGATTACTGAGCCATCAGTACAAGCTAAGCAAGTATCTTTAGTACCAACCTATCCCCCTTTGAGATGAGGCACTCTGTCACAACCCTTCTACTGGAAAAAATGTAAAAAAACCGAAGAGTGAATCTCTTACTCATTTTAACTACTGCAGAAAAAAGAACAGTTTGGTGTGATCTTGTCATTCATCTCAGATGAGGCAGCGAAGCCCCACTATGCCTACTTCTGTGAAGGACTTGAACATATCCTGAGGCCACATTAAGACAATGGCCGGGACCCGAGATGTACCATTATAAATAGTACATCACATAGGAACACCACATAGAACCCTGGACATCTTATATTTTTCTATATCCAGCAGGCTCAACATATCTATAAATAAATAAGTGTTGCAGCCTGCAGAAGACCTGCAGCATATTCCATCATTTACTCCAGCCACATCTGAGTGATTTCACAGGAGATACCTGGTACCATCCAGGACTACAATATTTTTTATTTCCTACTTGTTTGCGTTTAGGGCTACTGCCCAGCTAAGAGTCTAAACAGTAGGGACCTTCAAAATCCATAACCAGAGAGAGGGTTTAACTTCCATAGTAGTTAATACTTCGAGTAGCATGCACTGATGCCCAGGAGAATGACCTGATAATTCAAGTATGAATACTTGAACTGGGATAAATTGTCTCAATCTATGAACAGCCTACCAAAAGAATTTGAAGGAATTGATGGTCGTTGTAATAAAGCAGGGGTTGTCAACCAGGGGTATGCATAGGCCCAGGTGTACTTGGAAAGGGGCTAGGTGCTGGGGGGTATGTATGGGCAGGTGGGGACAGAGCACTGCATCCCAGAAGCAGGGCCAGGAGGGGATGAGGGCAGCAGCTCCCCTCTGTGGGCTACACAGGTGCTGCCCAATTAGCCAGATGTCAGGGGGAGGTGGGGAGAGCTTGCACATGGCAGCTGCTGCTGCCATCTACCACACCGCACCACCACCGTGTGCAAGTCCCCCCTGCTCTGTGCCTGGGCTCTGCTCTCCCCACTCTGCATCCAGCTGCTGCAACCCCCCTGCTCTGCCAGAAGTGTACCCAGAAGGGGTACACTCCTTTAAAAAGGTTAAAACCCCCTGTAATAGGGGAACAAATGAAGAAGGCCTTTGGGGTCTTCAGCGAGGTCCAAACAATAATTGAGGACCTTCCCTTGGAGGACAGTGACCTTTTTAATTCTAGGAAAGATGAAGCACTCTTGCCCTAGAGGATTCTATGGCAACTCTGTTCTTTGGCTCCTTGTGTTTTAACTCCAAAAAAAAAGGAAGCCAGGTTGTCACTCCTGCAAGCAGCATTCCTGTAATACTACTGTCTGGCTCAGAGGATCTCAGCTTTCAAGAAAAAGCAGATGTTCTACTGGAGGCAACAAAATCTTTGCTTTTTCTTCTGGGGCTTTCTTCAAGAGTTGATTTTCAGGGCAGTATTGAAACTGCCCAAGGATCTTTTCATTTCAACTCTGTAAGGGCAGCCATTTCTAGGAAGCCTGGTCTTGAATCTCCCCAGATCAATGAGTCCTGGAGAATGTAAACAAACGTTATGTTGTTCAATTCCAGTCCCATCCTGCCCGTTCCTTTTTTAGGGATTCTTCTTACAAGATAATAGTAAAGCAAGTAGAGGGTTCCCTCTTGCAATTTGGAGCAGTGGAAGAAGTGCCCTTGGAATTCAGGGGCACGCGATAATTCAAAAGGTAGAAGAATTAATTCCCATTTGTCACAGCACGGGGTCCTGTGGGATGGCCGTGATCTCCCCAAGGCCCCCTTCCCATGCCCAGTTGGCCTGAAGGGCACCCTCACTTCTCGCCCGCCACGTCTTTGATGGAGAATAAATATATGGGAGGCTTCCTTACATCCTCTTGGACACGGTTTGTTGTAATATCTGACCCCGTGGACTCCCGGACCCCTTGTGGGTCCCACTTTGCAATGGGTGCTTCAGGGGCACCCTAGCCTTGTGGGCTATGCGTGTCTCCAACCATCCCTTTACCATGCCCCAAGCCTTGCAGATGGAATTGACGTTGTTCGGTTAGGATCTTGTTATAATTTGGCCCTTTTGTCCTCTCTGGGCCCTGTGCGGCCCTGTCTTGCTCTGCACCCTCTGTGGTGCTCAGGCTCTCCGCTGCCCTGGTCTCACTCTGCGCTTTCTCTGGCACGCGGGCTCTCCACGGCCCTCGTCTCACCCTGCCCCCTTCTCTGGGGCTTCTCCAAGGCTGCCCCCTTCTCTGGGGCACACCACACTGACACTGAGGCTTCTCAACTGCCCCCTCTCTGGGGCTGGGGTCTGTGTACCCCGAATGCTGCACCCTCGCTGGTGCTGGGGTCCCCACACTGCTGTGGGTCCCCTATGAGGCCTCCTCCTTCCCCTAATAGCCTCACCCAAACCACCAGTTTTAAACAGTACACAAAACACAAGCCCCTCGGTTATAACATAAACTGAAGCCGCCCAGCTATAACAACATTACTCAAACCAGCCCAGGGATGCTCCATCCTTTACCAGGCTCAGGGCTGTACCTGCAGTCAGGCCTCGCCTCTCAGCTTGCTCAGGGAGAGCTCCTTCCCCCTGGCTGCTGGCAGGGAACTGCCTTCCTGGCCTCAGCCCCTAGGGTTTATAAGGGAGCCAGGCCCTGCCCCTTTCAGTCAGCTGACCGCTGGCAGGTGTGGGCACTAACTACTCTGGTTGCCCTGGTGATCAACAGCTGGGCTCCTTACTCACTGCTAGGGCTCTTTTCCTAGCAGTTTCCCCTCTTTAGGAGCAGGGCGCCTAAGTGCTCTGCGAGACCATTATTTTCTCTTTCCAAACCAGAATAGGGTTGATGTCCCATTCTGAACTTTTGACATATCAACAAATTCATTTGTTATTTCAAATTCAGGATGGTGATTCTGGCCTCTACAATTTCATTTTTAGTTTATCAGGACTGGTTTGCAGCTGTTAACTTATAGCTGTGGATGCTTATTTCCCAAGAAAAGATCAACTTGGAGTCAACAGAGAAATTGACATTTGTTCTGACTCAACGCATAGAGGTCATAGGAGCAGGTTCCACGTCAGTGAGAGTTTACTTTCCATAAGAAATATTCTGGAAAATAGCAAACTTCATTTAACCAACTTCAGTCTTACCCTAGAACGCTCAGATTTTCTGGATACAGAAATCAGATTTGTATGCCTCGGAC